AAACTGGTGCAGGTCTTAATTGTCTCAGCATTCTAATCAGTAATAGCAATATGGAAAATGCCTGACAGCCTGGAATTAGCAGTGATTCTTCTTTGAGAGAATCATCTTGGCATTTTGTGGTGGTTATAAATCTACTGCGTGTATATGTACATATGATGCTATAGCTTATGCTTTTTATACAGATAAAATACATTTTATACAGATGTGTTACTGATTTTAGGCTCCAGGTTGTTTTCTGTCTCTCAGTTAGGGAATTTTTGCTTATATATATGCAGCCGTGGAAGAGAAGCAGTCAGGTGCTCAACATTTACGAGGATAGAGTCTAAAATGAGTCACACTGGAATTTGACTATTTCTTATAGCAACTTGTCAAAACATTGGATTGTAATACAAAGATTGCAGGCATACTTTCTGCACATGTAGAATGTGCTTTTCCTTTTGTTAATTTTCAAAGAAGTAGAATAAAAAAATATGGACACAGTCATCTTAATTTTTTCTTTAGATCAGAAAATGTAATATTTTGTTCAAACACTTTAATAGAACAATTATTCTTTTGTTTTTAAATAAAATTTTCAAGTGAATAACTGCTCGTGACAGGTGTGTTTTGAACTGTTGTAGAGAATTAAGTCCTTCTCTACTACATCGTATAACAGCACAGTCAAAGATTTCTTTATCTATCATCTTTAGGCATCACAGCTTTCTTTTGGAGTGACCATTCCTAAAAGTCAAGCAAAGTAGTAATAGCAAAATACCTTTTTTTTTCTTCTTCTTCTTCTTTTTTTTTTTTTTTTCCTGAAGTTAGTTATTGTCTGCTAGGATAGTTGATGCTTCCTCACCTTGAACTATGCTGAGATTGCTGGTTCACTTCGTGTCCTTGAAGAGCATGAACATGAGAACTTTTGACCTGAATTACATTCTGAAGTAATGATCTTGAAATACAGGACCAATATTGGGGTGCCATTCTGCTGTTATTTTTGCTGCAATTAGCATCTAAAATACGAAATAAACAGTGTTCTCCAGTTCTTTTCCTCCCTTGCCTGTCATTAACAGTGTACAAAGGTTTAGTGCAATCTCCTTTAATAACAGGAATAGAAAAAGGAAGAAATAGCTACATGCTTATTAGAAACAAAATCAATTATTACTTTTAAAAACTACCTGCTTTCAATTAAGCAGGAAATTATCTAACCGGTTACTTAATTTGCTCTGGCTGGCAGTCTCTCAACTGCTTTATGCTGAGTGGAGCATGAAATTAAATATGTAACAACTATCCTAATGGTTATGTTTTTTGAAAACCAGCATTTTGAAATGTTATTTTGCATAGTTTCAGGAGAAATAATGACACAAAAATAAATTACTGCCGCTTCAATGCATTTGATATTTAAAAGAAAGATATTACTTAATTGTTGTTTCTCTTATTTTGATTAACAAAAAAACAATCTTTTAGGGATGCAGATCTATACTTGGGAATTGGGTTATTTGTTTAGGTGGTTGTCTTCCCCCCTGCTTTCAGATTGTGTGTCGTGGATGAAATTGCTGTTCATTTCTTGCGGCTTCAAGTGTTAAGATCCATCCCGTGAGGAACAATTCTGTGTACAGTGTGCCTTTTGGTAAAATTTTTGTGGGAATCTTCAAGATATTTTTAAGTTTTCTGTTTGCTGGATAGTTCTCATGATACAGCTTCTGTATACCAATTGAAACCCATGCTTTTTAACTGCTTAAGAGTAATTTTCCATTTCAGAGGAAATCCCTTGCTTTTCAATCCTGAGACACATAAATGCCTTTTAAAAAAACCCACCTGGGAACCTGACGCAGAATGCTTCTGATTTTGTGTTAGGAGAGAGATGAAGCCAATGGTCCCAGATTAGGTGTGTCAAAGTGCTTGAACCATCCAGTTCTTTGTGCATATCAGCATCAGCCCTCCATCCCTCTCCCCAGCCCCAGAATTTCACAAGCATTTACAATGGCAGAGTGATCCACAAACTTGCACCATGTAAACTTGGCTATGCTTCCATCCAGGAAATTATATTTAGATTTGAGTTTAATGCCTTTGATTTGATTAACTTTGTGACACAAATCCACAGACTTCATTATATTTATCACTGTATAAACTTGACTGTATTTTCAGTTTTATTTAGATTTGACAATAGAGAAAAAATTCATACTATAATCCTAAATTAGAATGAGAGTTTGTAAACTATATCAGCTACATGGGTCATGGAAGTTTTCCTTCTTTAACAACAATTAATAAAAAGAATTCTAGTGCCATAATTATGATTTGGGAGGCAGTAACTCACCACATTCCCCAATAACCAGATACAGGCTATTTTATTCTTCAATTGGGTTTTAATGCTATCTGGCTTACAAAGAAAATGTGTCATTTTGTAGATTCTCTAATGGACACATTTTTGTTCTCTGGAAAATTGTGAATTTGAGCCTCCAAAGCAGTAAAATTGTTGGTCTTTTCTTTGAATCTTGACTCAGACATTCATTGTCTGCTGTAACTTTTGAAAAGGCTTTGAAATTTGGTAGAAAGTGGTGGTTCTTCCACAAAGTAATCCCACTCTTTGATTGCAGGAGTGATGGTTGTGATAGCAACTGCCTACATCTTATGAAAATTACTTGGTATTGTTAGTTGGCCATTAGTCTGCCAAGCAATTATGTTCTGTTTCTTGAATGGAGGACACTTTAAAAATTGTCTCAAATAACAAAAAAAAAAGGATAAAAATAAGCCCTGGTTGAGTTGGAATAAAAAAGAATGTCTGTTTTTTCATTTGTGTTTAGGCCCCTTTACTCCTCTCTATCATGCGATTGAGAAACCATCTCCAATTCCTCAGCAATCTAAAATGACTTCTGTGTTCCAGTGACAACTTGATGAAAAAAGCGACAAAATCCCCCAACCTGAGGAAATGACCTCAGACATTTGAAGTACTAAGAGTAGCATCCCTATATGTCACCCCAATTTCCTCAGAATTCTCCAATCACAATCTTGAGGGAAAGTCACCTTTCCTTATTCGTGTCTTTGGCACCAATTTCCTCTCACCGTGGCCTGCCATGAGAACCACTGAGCTGAAAACCAGCCTGCTCCCCCCAGTGATGCCTCCCCTGGAAGTTGATGGTGTCCTGTCAGCAGCTCAGCCAGACAGAACCACCGGCGCCATCTTCATTAGGGGAACAGCTAATATAAACAAATAAAGGCGCTAGTGGAGATAGCAGAGTGAGGGGATTACTGAAAAACGCCTTGCAGAGTCAGTTGCTATGCCTTTAGTTTTAAAAATATATAAATGTTATATGAATCTCAAATCCGCTTTTATTTACATAAAATATTTATACACCAAGCAAGACAATTTCACAACTTTAAAATGTATTTTCCTGTTAGATTAATCTTTTCATATGCTAACAACATTACAAGTAAACATTTTCATACTCTCCACTACATGAATGTGGCTAAAAGCTTCCTTGTTATTTTATAGTTACAGCATTTCAAATGTATCTTTTTTTGACGTGGTTAGGCAGCCTGCCAGTTTTACCACTAAATTATAGCAGAGAAAACACTCAGTAGAATTTGATTAGATTTCTTCCTTCTCCCCATGAGTAAGGCGAAGCAAATTTATGTTCAAAATGCAAGCTGGGTTCTGAAGGATTGAATATAGATCTGTATTTCTAGTGTTAAAAATGCAGGCAAGTTTTGTAGTGGAAAATAGATATTGTTTATAGTGTTGCTTTATATTACTGTTTTATTTTGGATGACAGAAATGATAGAAAAATATTAGGCAATACCAAATTTAAGATCTGTATTTCAGAGAATTAGAGATGAATCTGTCCTTATTTTTGTTCCTAGTGAACAATTATATTAATAGAATCATAGAATGGCTCAGGTTGGAAGGGACCTTCAAAATCATCTAGTTCCAATCCCTCTGCCACGGGCAGGGACACCTTGCACTAGAGCAGCTTGCTCAGAGCACCATCCAACCTGGCCTTGAGCACTTCGAGGGATGGAACATTCATGACTTCCCTGGGCAACGTATTCCAGTGCCTCATTCCCTCACAGTAAGGATCTTTTTTCCTAATATCTGATCTAAACCTACTCTCAGTTTGAATAAATTCCCCAGTGTCCTGTCACGCTCTTATAAAAAGTCCCTCTCCATCTTTCCTGTAGGCTCCCTTCAGGTACTGGAAGGCCACAATTTGGTCGCACCAAGGCTTTGTCTTCTCCAGGCTGGAAAAACCCAATCCTGTCAGCCTTTGCTCGGAGCAGAGGAGCTCCATACCTGTGGTGATCTTGGTGGCCTCCTCTGGACTTGCTCCAATGGGTCGATGTTGTTCCTGTGCTGGGACCCCAGAGCTGGATGCAGTGTTCCAAGTGAGGTCCCTGCTGGTCACGCTGCTTTGGATGCAGCCCAGGACACAATTGGCTTTCTGGGCTGGGAGTGCACACTGCTGGGTCATGTCTGGCCTCTTATCCACCAGCACTCCCAAGCCCTTCTTGGCAGAGCTGCTCTCAATCCATTCATCACCCAGCCTGTACTGATAAGGGGGTGCCAACCTGTGTGCGGCACCTTCCATGTGATCTTGTTAAATTTCATGAGATTCCTGTGGGCCCACTTCTTGAGCTTGTCTGGATCCCTCTGGATGATATCCCATACTTCAGGTGTGATGCGCCTATAAGGACTGGATTAATCCCAACCACCTGCAAGCATTTACCCAAGGGATCCAATTTAGGTGCACATTATCTGTAGACTGTACTTTTAAGGAGAAAGGCTGCATTTACCTGACCTGTGAGTGTGTAGTGGGGTGTAGGCACAGAGTTTGTGGTAACTGGGAGTGGGGCTGGGGCTGAGTCTCATCCCTAATGGGTACAGCTGTGAAAAGTAGGTGAAGAGCATTGAAGGTAATGAGGCATGGAGGGTGCACTGACCAACCACCAAAGGGAACAGAGGACACACAGGTGCAATGCATGAATTATAAGGGTATAAAAGGTTGGGCTGAAACACAAGAAAGGTGGATACAGCCTTTTGAAGTGGTGTTATTCTGTGTGGGTGGATGCTTGAAGCCTTTTGAAGTGGTATGGTGTTCCTCTGTATGGGCTGATGCTTTCTGACATGATATGGTGTTACTCTGTGTATTGTGGCTGTCTCAACTGTGACATACACTGTGACAGTGGGACAGGTTTCCAAGCCATAAGATTGGTTTGTCTAAATCAGAGATCTAGTTGGAGCAAGTTGTGGTGTCTCCTCACCTAGAAGGTCATGCTTCTTTCTTGCAGTAGTCAGGGCAGAATGGGAGAAGAGATCATATGTGCCTGGTTCTGACCTGATACAGAGTTGGAACATGGGATAAGGTGGCATCTGAAGCTGGCATTTAGGAATTATTCCCCAGTACACAGGCTGTTGTCCAAAGAGCTTCAGTGGGCTGAACTGCCTTGGTGTCTGTCTTCTGCCAAGAACTACAGGCAGACTTATTTTTTAGACCTTATCTTCTGTCTTAGCATTCAAGCTGCTAACTTGAATTCCTAGCTTGGGTGATATGTGAATTACAAATGCTAGTGACCAAAACCCTTTCTACAGACATTTCCGAAGGACCATATCCAGAGTTTCCTTATTATATGTTTGATAGAAAACTACAGGAACAACAAGCTTATAAGTGTAAATTATCGTTATAATGACATGAAAATAAGCTTCTTTATATTATAGTTGTTACTCAGTAGTACTGTTTTCATAATGTACTTATATCCTTTAAGGACAGGAGAGACCATTGTGACCCACTATTCTATACCATGTACCAGGAAATTTTAGTCATTAGTCTCTGCAGAAGTCCATTCTGGTGATTAGTTGAGTTCAAGTATGTATTTTACAAAAAAAATTGTGCAAAAGCTTAAGATGGATATAGCTGCTTATTTAATCCCCATTCTAAGAGGCAAGCACAGCAGCTGTATAGAAGTCCCTTATATTCTCTAAATCCTTTATAGGAACAGAAGTGTTCAGAATCTGACATTGTAAGTTCAGCATGTTGCACAAATGATCTTTAAAAATGTCCACTTGTTGCTGGTTACAATGTGTGTTTTCAGTATTAAAGTGGACTGGCATATGTATTCATAGTTCTCTCACCTACTTCTAAGCAAAGGAATTAAATCAGGAACTTTAATAAATATAACTTTGTTATCTACTGCATATAGATATGACATTAAACAAATCTTTAAATTTTTTCTTTGTATGAGAATGTTCCTAATAATTAACAAAACTTAATAAATGTGACTATGATATATCTGATTCATTTCATTGGGGAAAAACATTCTGTAAAACATGGGCAGTTGATGTAAAGATGTTTCATCAGGATTAGCTTGGCTTTTAGGGTACAAAAACTAATGTAGGAGGAAGAGAGTGTCTATTGTATTTTTTTTATAAACCCCATGAAAATCTTTTGATTTTCAATTTTAAAAAAATGTAAAGATTTGTTTTAGAAAATATTCAGCAATATATCAGTTGGCTGTGCAAATGGTAAAAACAGTGAGTCAGTAAGCTACACTAGCTTAATTCTCCTTAGCAGAGAGGTCGTGTATATAGCACAGCATGGATTACTTATTCATACATTGTAAACAGCTTTCATGACAATGGACCGATTCAAAGCCTGTTGGCATCAGCCGGTGCACTCCTACTTTTATCATCAACTTCCATACCAACTTGGAGCCTGATCCAAAGCCTACTGAAGTTGATGAAAAAGTTGTTAGAGCTGAGGTGGTATAAGGACTTAAACAAGCTGTTCAGGAATTTGATGTACTACCTCTTTGAACAATCTTTTTCTTGATTCTTCTGTTATTTTTGACAGCACCCACATCTAGGGAGAACTTTTATTGAACAAATGTTGGTTTTTAGCTCTAACTCTCCAAATGGATGTAATTCTACTGAATGTTTAAAATGTGTCCTGCCTGTAACTATGAAGAGTACAGCATTGTCAGAAGGAGCTCAAAAAGTATTTTATATGTTTGTAGATAATTACATTTAATTAGGATAGCAGAGTATTCATAATTGATGAATTGTACAAATAGATGCAATTGATTTAATTTATATCACCATGGATCATTGGTAAATGTGACCTAGAAAGATCTGTATTTTGATCTGAAGCTTAATGTGATCTTATTCCCTTTAAAGAGTGTAATATTAATCAACAGCGTGTAGCCTTTGGGGATTGAGATACTATCTGTTTCTTAGATGTTTTTAAGCTTTTGTTGACAATGATCTTCTCGGTGTTCATAGGATGAAAATCACAATTTCTTTTACCTGTAAGAGTTTTCTCAGACACAAGGAACCGTTTGTTGATCCATTTAAAAAATGCTAGTGCCCCACAAGCTTCACAACATGGACAGTTCAAATAAACTGGAAAGGTAAAGAATGAAAGAAAAGTCCACTTTTTTGCTATTTCTGTGAGGTTGATACAAAATGACATTCCGAGAGCGTGTAGGATTTCTCACTGAAGATGAAGTCAAGATAGATGATCTTCAGATCACTCAGTTGTGTATTTGTGTGTCATCTTTCAGAGGGGGGGAGCTCTTTAGGTCTGGATTAATGGATGTTACTTGTACATGTCCTGATTCATAGCCCTGTTCTCAGAAATTTCAAATCTGGTGTGCAAATAGTAAAGTACAAATTCTACTTCCCTTCATCAGCCAAATCCATTTCTGCTGCAGTCTTTCTCTACAATAGAATTTAAACATGAAGGCTGTGTCCTTACTTTTATATTAGCTCCAAGCACAAACTCTCTGCTCGTCCTCTGCTAACATATGGGTTTGAGACTGGGCCAAACCACTGTTTCAATGGCTTGGGAAAAACAGGGGTAGGGATGGACTGAGTCTCCTTTGAGCTGTGCGTTTTCCAAAGAAAAGCGTGGTGTTCCAGGCCTGTGGTGCTGTGCTTCCACAGGCCTCTTGGGTGCAGTGTCTTGGTCTGACCGCGGGGCTTTTACTTCTCAGGCTATGATTTGATAACATCTGCTTGATACTTTTTTGCTTTAAAATCAGCAGTAATAAGAGCACTGGCCCTATCTTATGCTCTAGAGCTGCAAAGAGCCCCCAGTAGTCTAATAGCAGTGGGATTGCAAACAGATTTGTGTAATTTCACAAAGTATACAAGCTATAAATATTATGTTTATTCTAAAGAAGGAATGTGAAATGCAGTCAGCAGATAAAATGTTTATTTTCTCACTGTCACATGTGTTTCTTCATCCTTTTGTGACCTCAGTGTGGTAATATCTAAATAGTTTGTTCTGAAGCACAAGGCATGCTGTGTGAAGAGGCAGGAGCACAGGAGTACTCACACCACATGAGGATCTTGACTGGTTGATCATCTCTTGCTACTTATGATTAAGCAATAAGGAGAGAGGTGCAGGGTATTTCCTGGGGATTAATAACTGATAGGGAGGAGTTAATGGCCTGAGGTGCAGCTGAGGGCCATTAACCCCAGCTGGTCATCAATCCTCATTAAAAACCCCTGCAACGCAGTTCACCAAACACGGTGAAGGGCAAACCAATGTTTTAAGCACCTTTGTGATTCCCCTCTCTGTGTCCTTAAATTAGTTCTGATTTAATTTCTGTTACTTCCTGGTGTAGATGGTGCTTTTCTTACTGCAGCAGAAGTTCTACTTGGCAATGGGCTTATGTCACCAGGAGTGTGTGAAGACTGCAGAGTTCAGACCTCTATGTGCAAATGGGACTCCTCACTACTACAGCAGCACAATATGGGGTGTTTTAGCAATTCCAGCATTTAATTACATAAAAAAGAAAGTAAGTTATAAATTTCATAAAAGATTGGTTTGTGAAATCCAAGTTTGTTTTTTAATAATATAGTACAGACTTTTCTCTTACAACAACAGGAATTTTTAAGAGAAGGGCAAAGGCCCATGGTTCTTCTGGTTTTGAAACTGTTAAACTTTATTTTGATGTGTTTCAAAAGATGTTTATTTTTGGTTGGTAGCATTTGATACATAAACCAGCTCCTAATTCTGCGAAAAAGCCAAGTATTGCAAATACATTTCATGTTAGATAAGCATTGGAATATGTATCTTTTATGATGGATTTGGGATTTCCTTAGGTTTTGAAATGCACATAATTTAGGGCTATACTGGATTTTTCTAGAAAGTCAGTCTTCTTGTAAGGGGGCCAATTGTTATCATGGTATTTAGAATTTTTAGTGATTTTGTAGTTATGCTATTACTCTTGGTTATTCCAAATTAAGATTGTGGTAATAAAATGTGAAGCTATGACAAAAGTCCTGGAAACTGATAAAATTCCAAAACCTCTTTTCCAAGCCCTAGACCTGACTTCTTATGCAGCAATACAATACCTGAGTAATATTGGAGAACTCATTTGGCCTAACTCGGGGTAGATAATTGCCTGTGTTCATTGTAGATGTCTGTCTGAAAATCACCAGAAAGGTCTCCGCAGCCCTTACAACTCTGTGGAGATACTATCAAGTGTGATGGGTAGACTTTGGTGGACAGGGGGCAGATAATAGAATGAAAGGATATAATCTGGCAGCAGCACTTGAAATCAATGAAGATTTTTTTCTTTGATTGTAGTGAGAGTAGAATTAGTGTTTGGCCTCCATTTAGAAGTGTATGATTTTGCCCTACAGCTGCTGATGAACTCTGCACCCTGTGCATGGGCTTATAAAATCAGAAGCCCTGTTCTTCTGGGTCTACACAAATACCTGAGAGCTAAATGGCCTGAATGTTTGAAAGGAGGAGAGCACAGAGCATCCCAGTTGAAGTCCTGTTTGTGTTACACCCTTTCCTGATGCTGTAGAAAACAAACCAGTCCCCTTTTCAGAGAGTGGGAAACTGGTGGAGAATGTGTTGGGTTCCACCACCTTGGAAATCTCATCTCAGGCTGACTCAGGGAGAGGGGTTTGTGCTGTTTCCATGAATCACTAGGAACTTGGATATGCAAGTAGTGGGAGCTGCACAGGGCAGGCTTGGATCAAAGCAGCAGTTCTTGGAGTGTAGTTATGGAAGGTGTGTCTCAGTACAGCCTTGTCTCAAGGCAAATATGTATGGTGACTGAAGTAAGCCTGTTTCCTCTTCCTGGTTTAGAAAGACATGCCTTCATGTGTTGCAGGACTTTGCTGTCACTGTTCATCTGAGTGAAGATAGGCATTCACAGGCTTGTTTTCAGAATCATCCTCATGAAATAGATACAGACTGATACAGACTCCAGTTCCATAGAAAGGCTGAAAATCTTACTTGGATTCTTATATTATGCATGATAACAGCTGAAGAAAAAGGCTTCTGCATCTGGAATTTGAGGAGGATTCTCAACCAGTCCAAGAGTATTTTGAAAGGAATTTCAGAAGAAAAAGATGTTTTGTATAATAAGTTTAAAGAGAAGCTCTTATCTTGTACAGTCAAAAGTAGTTCACTGTGTACAGTTTTGCTTATGGGAGGCTTCTGAATGCCATTTTACTGTATGGGATAATTTGGACTTCCTTACTAATTTTGAAGTTTCATATCAGATACCTCTGCTAGAACCCCAGTCCCTTCTACTATGATATATTCTTATGGCTGCAAGTCATAAGTAGCTTGTATTTTCAATTCCAGGTATCAAGAACGGAATCTCATTTTTAGGGTCTGCGAGAACTGAAACCAGCAAACTTGCTTTAAGTGTACATTTTGAGACTAACTTGCTCTGTAGTTGTTTTAGCATAAACTGGTTTGCTGTGTAAGGCAAAATATCTGCATTTCTGTGACTTCTGTACACCATATAAAATCTGCTGCTTTTCATGTTTCAAATGCTGTTAAATGCTCTCCTGCTTGTTTCTGTTTTAAAGGGACAAAGAATAAAACTTAAAAAGCACAGGCTCTAGGGTGTTTGTTGGTGGTCCATTCCTCCATGCATGTTTCATATAAAGAACATCCTTGCTTGTTCTCTAGATGCTGTAGAGAAGGCACTATCTGTTGAAGGGAGCCAAGTGTGGCACTTTATAGCGCTGGGAGTCATGATTGCTCAGCTGTGAGATTGCTTCCTGGAAATCTGTAGTGGAGAATCGGGCACAGTGTGGCAGAAGCCACATATGAATGTGCTAAGTGAATAGCTGTGTTTGTGCATAGGGAATAGCTGAGGAGCTCAGGGAACAGTAGTGTCCTTTTGAGCATGACTGGCCAGTTGAGGACATACCAGTTAAATTGCTCTGAAGGCCCAGCTGACAGATGTCAGTGTGGCTGAGGATAAATAATACAAGTCAGAGGTGGAGGGTTTCAAGGAGGAGGCAAACAGAGAGACATCAGAGTTGTCCAAACACAGTGGTCTACAAAGAATTAAATCCCTTTTCTCAAAGTCCTTTGGTATCCTTGTCCAAGTCAGAAAGTCATGTGGGAGACTACCTCATGCTTTTTCTTCACTTATCATTTTTTTAGTTTGTGTTCTAGGAAACTGACCTTCCCTGGTTTGATGTGACAAGGCCTTTGGCCTTTTTTTGTATTCTTCAAAAACACCTTCACCTCAGTTGATATCTCAACAATTTATTTATGGCTCTACAATGATATGGGGTTTTCCCCCTTTTGCTGAATGCCAGTGACCATGCTGTAAAATCTTTTTAAGGCCAAGATGTTAATGTTTTTTGTGTTGCCATTCACTTTTTACAATGGCTACTCACCAACTCATTTTTTCTTTCCTCCTAAATCTCTGGCTTGAAAGAGTTGTTTTTCTTGGTTCATGGCTTAACACCTTCTGTGTTTTCTTGATCAACTGATCTTGTATGTTTATTTTAAGTATGAAGTTTCAGTCCTTGTATATCATCCTGTTTCAGACTGATCATGGACTTGCTGCAAAGCTGTTAAAAGAACCAGAAATGTTCATTATTTCTACACCTCAGCCTCCATGTATGAAATGGATGTGCTGAGTCTTCTGTCTTGTGTATCTCCTCCTGTACAGCACAGGTTTTTCTGCCTTTGTCTTCATGCTGAGTAAGTCTTGCCTTTCAGAGTCTCAGTATAAAAAGTTGACATTGTTATGGATTTCTACTGTGTGATTATGGTGTGGTTAATTTTTATTTCTCAACTGGAACTTTCAAGACATGAGAAGTTAAAGAATTTCAGTAAGATAGGGGTACACTTGTGCTGCTTTGGCACTGCTAGGCAGGAACTCTGGCTTCAGTAGCAATACTCTAGATTTATGCTTATTGTAACAAGAAACCCAATCAATGTCTTTTTCTAGCTAGGTGTTTTAACATCATATTTCAGTGGCCTAGACAATGTAATTATTTGCAATTGTAGAAATCATCTCTTTGAGTACATGTGGTTCTGCTATATTTACATAGTTGTAAAACTGTTTTTATGTCCCATCAAGTTGAAATATTTTTCAGAGGTTAGAATAATTCTCTGTGCTTCCAGCTTTCACAATAACATGTTGTATTGAGAGTCTTAGAATATGATTAATAGTTGAAACACACTGGATTTCTTATAATCCCTAAGTTCACTGTTGAATGTTGTTCTTGTCCCTTGTTTCACAGCTGTGTGAAATAACCAGTCTTATACCTGAAAGCTTTGACTGGAACTTAGTTGAACAGAGCATTTGAAGATCAACTCAGTTCTTGGGTATTTGTTGGAAAACCTTTTCCTGTTAACAAAAGTTTTCCATCTCTCTTCCAATCAGCCTAATGGATCAATGTGCAGAAAATGACACGCTGAGCCAAGATGCTGCTGAGTGTGGACAAATATTTGGAGATAAACAGAAGAAACTGGATGCGTTCAGAAGAATGTCACCTTCTTAAGCCTGGAATGTTTTCTTTGCAACATTTTTAGAGCAGTGGGATTTCCGTTCAGCAGGGTCTGAGATAGGATTGATGTGAACTCTTGTGGTGTTAAGGTCAGAATTGTCCGCTTCTTAGTTCTGCCTTTGAGCTGGGTATCTTGAAAGCCTTGCCTCATCAGTCTTGTGGCACTCTGCTTGTCAGGATTCCAGGTCATGTCACTGTGCAGCAAACCTGCTAAGCAAGCTCTCTTGGGAATGGGAAATTTTGCAGAGATATAGGATTGGATAGCTCAACTAGAATTTCCATGCTTTGTGCTTCCCATGCCAGGAATCAGATGAGATTGGGTTTCATGTGGGTTTGGCCTTTTCTCTGTAGAATGAGCCTTGGAGGTCTCAGAGGCAGGATTTAAGGAATGGCAAACCTGGGAAGAGTTTCCAAGGACACTGATTCTGGGACTGTATGCCTAAAGGGCTGATTGAAAGCTGTAGGTACAGGGAGCTTTTGTACCTGATCAAGAAAACTGAGAACATCACTTATTTCAGCAGCAGATATTTAAGGAGGAGAGGGAAGATTAGCAAGGCTTAATTTCACTGTGATTCTGGAGTGCAGGAAGCCTTCCCTGGGCAATATGACTGAGTTTCTTTATGTTTGTGGTTTGTATAGAGCCTAAGACTTCCATATTTTAGTCTTGCTTGTCCTGGAGCCTGGCATTTCCTGTCGATGAGAAACCCTGCTTTTCTGTAACTTTAGGTGCAACCCAAAGTCTAAATATGTTGTCCAAAAAAAAAATTCCCACCTCCACTAAGTTTATGTAGGGATGCTGACTTTGCAGAAATTCTTTCTTGTTGCTTTTGTGGCACTTAAGGTATAATTTTACTATTTCGTTGACATGTCAATAGGGAATGCATCTGATGTGTATGGTAGAAAATTTCAGTAGATACCTATGGGATAAGATTACTGTGATGCATTTTAAATGATTACAGCTGTTGAAGATGGGGGCATTTCCTGCTGAGCAAAATGGAAAAACTCCTTGGTATGATTCAATGATAGGTGTAGGAATTTGTATTTTGTTTTCTTAAATCAAATTTGCAGAAGAGAGCCAGGATTGCTGCATGTATTGAAGCATGTATCTTCAAAAAGGAAAAAAAGAATAGTCTCATTCCTTTGCTGTTTCTGGGGGCTAAGGGACTAAATGACCTTCAGCTTTATGCAAATGGAAAGGTTGCAGTTTGTAAAGGATGATAGCCATTTAAAAACAAAAGTAATCCCATTTTTCTGTTTTTGGCAAATGCCTTGCAGTATGCAAATGACCTGAAAATAATGTGTACCTTAAAAACATATTTAAGCACCAAAATATTTCATATAAATTTGAAGACTATTCTTGCACACCCCAGCATAAATCAGGAGTCTGTACAAAGACAGGGGAGTTACTGTCACATGCAACTAGCATGAACTCATAATAAGCTCCAAAATATTGTAGATATTAGAAGGCACTAATATATATTGTTGATTATAATTCCAGTCACTGGTTATAAACCTCATGAAATGAATTGCCTCATTTATAATGCATACCATGGGACAACATCTAATTTGGTGACAAGCATGGAGTCTAGCAAAGATTCAATAGAAATATCTGCTTAAATGACCATGTTCTCACCTAATTACATATATTTTCTAGAGCTTTGTTATTTAATATACCGGTTGTTATTATTAAATTGAATTTCACACCTTTAAAAATTCTGGGGAATAAATGTCCGTTTCTCTGTGAGGTGCAAGGGTAGTGTTTATTTTAAATTGTGACTTTTTGTGAGAAAGATAAGAAAATCAACATATGCTGTTATCACTTCTCACTTCTGAAATAACAAGGTGAGGGCTATCCTTGAAAAGTAATTGATATTCCTGTACAGGTTGAAACTGATATACAAACAGATAAACAGAGTCCTTCTAGTCTGTGCTTTAGCTGAAAATGCCATACCAATAGTTGTCTTACACAGCCTTCAGTTTCAGACCAGACCTTTGACCTTTTGGACCATTCTGCTAGTTTACTCTGGCCATTTCAGATGCCTTGGGCCTGTGTAATTTTAGCTGCATAAGTAGACCACAAAGCTACTCAAGTGATGCTGTCTAAGCTAATGTTGTGTAGTGGGTTGACCTTGGCTTGACACCAGGTACCTGCCAAGCTGCTCCATCGCTCCCCTTTGCAGCAGAACAGAGGGGAGAAAATAGGATGAACCCTCACAGGTCAAGGCAAAGGCAATTTAATAAAGAAAAAGTGGAGATTGTGCACGTGCAATAAGAGGTAAAAAAATCCCCAACCCAAACCAACCAAAATTTTATTCTCTACTTCCCATCAGCAAGTGATGTCCTGTCACTTCCCAGGAAGCAGTTGCTCTGGAAGGAAAGGGCTGTGAGTAACAAATAGCCCCTGCCATTTCCACCCCTTTTAATTTAGCTTTTATATCTGAGCTGAGCTCATATGGTGTGGAATATCCCTTTGGTCAGTTTGGGTCGGCTGTCCTGGCTGTGTCCCCTCCTGAGATATCTCCCACCTCCAGCCTACTCTGGAGGTAAATTTTGGGGAGGCAGTGCTGATGCTGTGCCAGCCCTGCTCAGCAGAGCCAAACACAGGAGTGTTAGCAGCACTTTTCCAGCTACCAATGCAAAGCACAGCTCTGGAGCGCTGCTGTGGAGAGAATTAACTCCATCTCAGCCACACCCAATGCACACTACCTGCTAAATGATCCTATGAACAGGCTTAGGGAAAAGGGCTCAAGTGCATGTAATTATTTTGCCCTTAAAATGTCACCTATACCTTAGATAACAGCTTGCTAAAATTCCACTGCTTATCTAGATGAGCATGTAACAAATCCACAATTTAATGAAGCAACTTGCAATGAAATCTGGTTTCTGCTGGTTATTATTGCTAGTTAGAAAGCATAAGGAATGCTTCAATATCATTGGGAGATAATGCAGTGGTCATTATTGTATGAGGTAAAGGCTAAGGTAATAAAACTCTATGAAGTTTTATTCCTAATTTCTGGAAACTACTTCTGGTCTGTAATACAACCAGATCTGGTGTAAACTTCCTATGCCTGCAGTCTGGTATACAATGGTGTATTTTTCATCATTTGTTTCTATGTACTTTTGGTCATGGTTAATGGTGGCGAGTTATCATGGTTAAGTGAGATATCACTTGCTGTTCTGGCAAAAGCTTCAATATTAAATGCAACCATGGTGGACTGAGCTGTGGGATAGAATCCCTGTTTCTATCTGCAGTGTTTACTTTGTTCCAGTCTGTTTTACCCATGGAAATTCATTACAAACAAAATAATTACACTGGTGTTACTTTGAAGGGGGCTGTTGAGACATAACAAACCAATTGTGTGTGACTTGGTGCAGGAGGGAGGGGAATGCTTTTCCTAAATGCATGTGCAGGGAACATGAGGAGAGATTGCTGAAACTCGTTCAGGTGGGGGACTCATATTGCTCTTCTTGCAGGGTCACTCACTGGGTAAGAATTGTGCAAATGTTTTGTCTTTTTAATTGAGCAAATACTTTTATCCTTTGAGCTTTTTATACACATATAGGAAATTGTTGGTTTATGTTCTTTTTAAAAATAATTGTATTAAGACAAATAGTTCTTTCATTTATTCAGTTGTTTATCTTCTGTACTATTCTGGAATGCTCTCTCCCAAAGCCCTGAAATTCTGCACCTGCAGCAGGCTTATTCTGTAGTTATAGAACAGGTGCTGTGCCGTGAAAATATGGGCTTCAGGCGAGGTGTCAGACACAGCTCAATTTGTCTGTTTCTGCACACAGAGAAAGAGGAGGATGATAGTTCCTGGGGAAACTCTCATGTCTGGGATGGAGGCACCTATCTACCACCCTGACCTGAAGCCTTTATGGGTTTGCTGCCTACCAGCTGCTCAGACTTGGGATGGTGTGGGAAGTCTGCTGAGGCTTGTCTGTCTTTTTGGCTGTCCCCTCCTGCTGCATATCCATCTGAGCACCAGTGGTATACTGACAGGGTATGCTGAGTGTACCAAGGTTAGCCACAAGGTTTAGGACAAGGATGGAGTGTGCATGAACAGTCACAGGGCTCTGGGACAAGAATGGGGCCTGTTCCTGAGTGGGATGTGTGAGGGCACAGGTAAGGCCGAGGTACCTTTGTCCCTTGTGCCTCAGTCCTCACCAGTGAGGTTTCACAGGCCTCTGTTCCTAATGAAAGAGCTCAAGGAGGACACTGAGCCCCATCAAGGGACGAGGAGCATGTCAGGGAATACTTGGGAGAACTTGAGCCATCTGAGTCAGTGGGATAGAACAGGCTGCATTAAAGACTGCTGAGAGATGAATGTGGGGTCATGGAGACTGGGGAAGAGCCCCGAGTCCTGGACAAAGCCAAACATTGTGTCTATCTCCAGGAAAGCTTAAAAATGCCATACAGTGACCTGCAGGCTCCTCAGCCTACCTTCACTCTGTGGGGAAAGCATGGAAGGAGTCCTCTAGGAGCAAATATCTGCATAGATGTAGGAAGTGAATGAGAACCAATGTCATGGACTGTCTTGGAATATAATCACTGTCCTTGTGAGAAATGGAATAGATTGCTTGGAGGCCCTCCATCACTGGAGGCTCAACTGAATAAAACCCTGAGTAAGCTGGTTTGATTCTAGCTGACCTTTTTGAGGCATTAGTTGGAAAACAGGCTTCTTGAGGCCCTTCTTACCTGAATGAGTCTGAGTCAAGGATTCTGTAATGGACAAGGTGTCAGAGGTGGCAGATTAATCCTGTTGTGCTATTTGTATATTATGGCAGAGTGCAGCAGCAAAGCAGAGACATTTCCTTAATTACATGAAGGTACAAGCCTGTTGGTCTGCATCCATATTGCAGTTTAAGTAGAGGAGTAACTCAAGTGTTAGAAAAAGAGAACTGCAGTTGATGAGAAGCTGATGAATACATCTTACTGTGGAGTCTTTTGTTCTAATACTTTTCTCTGTGTGATTTTTTTTTCCCTAGTGCTTTAATTTTGCCATGATCCATTATGTTAGGGATATAGCTGCAAACAGAAAGACAGCAGATAAATCTGTATGGGATTTTTAAAATGAGAGAATTGCATTAGTGAACATATGATGTCCATTTGTGAGAGCTGGGAAGGAGGAAGACAAATCACAGATTTGTAACTTTGAAATTAATGCAGTCATGCAAAACTTCTGTTATGTGGACTCTGAGGATCTATCTGCAGTTGAATTTTTATATTGTGATTGGCATTACACAGATGGGAAAGGAGGATAATATGGTGAGAGAAGTGTCAGGGCATGAAAGCACAGGAAAGTCTGCTAGTGGTTTTTCTGGTTTTGTGCTTTTCACAAATGCTGCTATTCATAGGTCATCTGAATGGAGGATTTACTTGACATTGCAGAAAATATTTTCTGCATTCAGTGTAGGAACATTCTCTGTAAGTCTATTCTAGCTGG